AAAATTCTCGAATATTTGGCTACTCGCAAAATCGAATAAATGCTTTTTATCAAAAATTCGCACTAGCATATTCGAATTATTCGAAATGTTCGAATATTTTATCTAAAAACGATTATCTGATCTAAATAAAACTCGTAACCAACGACTTTTTCCACAACCCTTATCTCCTCTCTTGTTCATCTTCATAGATGAGAAGTCGTAGGAGTAATTTCAGTTTTAGATCGAAACAATATAAAAAGTGCTGTTTTATCCCATGGCAGGTGTCTACTTTTCTTCACATATTTGTCTATCATCTAAGGTTGATATGACCTTATCGTAACTCTAATGGCATTTAGGCTTTCGTCTAACTCAATGTATCCTATTAAACATTGTTGGGTTCCACAATTCTTAAGCCTTTGTCTTTCGAGAGTCTGATTTTTTGAAAAAGTAATCAATAAGAATTGTCAATCATTTTGGTCCAGTGCTCAAGAAAATTGCTGGTTTTGCATCTTATTCGCTTACTGAAAAAGTTAAAAAGTAACTATCGCCTTGTACATAGTGTAGACTTTGACAATTGGATTGTCCTGAAAGATTCTTGCTGAAATAAACGATTTTGGATCCTATGCTATTTAATCAGTCATAGATGATTGTTCTCATATTTCAGTCTCATACTAAGGTATAGTTGCATTCATTGAAACTTTTCTCCTTCACTCTGATGTTCTCAATGGAGGTTTTCTTCAGTTTTTGAAACTGATCGTGCAATTCCCTAATTCTCGATTTATTGCTGAATAGGAGATTTACTCAATTCGCCTCCGTGTATTGGGCAACGGTTGTCAAAAGAAGAAGCGATTGATAAGCGAAATCGAATTTTAATCAACTTCAAGCCATGTTTTATTTCAAGTCTCTTCCATTTCTATTATGTAGTTCTGCATCTTCCTAATAATGGAATTTATAACGTAATAAAGATAATTAATTATCTTACTCAACCAGTTAATCCTAGAAATTGCAAAGCATCTGGTCTCAAGTAGAAAACCTAACAACATTCATGCTATTTGGTGATATTGCCATATTTAATGCCGTTCTTTTATCAAAGCTCAGTTTAATTCAAGGTTTCACTAAATGTATTTTGTTTCATAAAATGGAAAAAATCTTGGTTGTAATATCGTTATCATAACCATACTCACAAGGGGAGTATACTTAGT